ACCTTCATGTGAGTATTATACATTTGTGATTCATGTTTTACGTAGTTTAAAAATCTCATTACTTGATCATTAATTAATTGAAATGTCAATATGTTAACTTGAAGTCATAACTGATTTGATGTCATTAATGGATGAGAAGGATCGAAGTCTAGTGCGTGAATTAGCCACTCCATACACTCAAGACGACCATATGTCTGATTCCATCTTGGACTAAGATTGGGTATTTGAATTGAATATAATTTATTGATTACCATTTTATACGAGTTAGTAATTATCAATTAAGTCAATAATTTTTAATATTGTTATTTGTGTAAGAGTGCGGTTAGTTGATAGACGATCACTTTCGCTGAGGGCATCACCTCCGTCGAGGAGATCTCTCTCTCTTCCATATAGACACGTCTTTTGTGGATTTCTTGTATATAGTCAGGGTCCTTATTTCGATGATCTGTATGCTTGTTGACTAGATTTATAGTGGAGGAGGTCGGTGTACTGTGATGAGAGTTGATAGGAAGGGTTGACAATTTGGGACAAGAGTTAATAGGAAAGGTCGACAATTTATCTAATGATGTTGAATGCTATGTGGCCACTTCGTAGACCTTTAGGATAAGGTCACAGCACTCCGAGGTGATATAGTAGATAGGTGATGGGTGCCGGAGAGGGAATCATTTTTGTTATATATAGAGCGAGATTGGATGGCTGTGATGGGGATAGGAGAGGTGGCAGAGGAGGAGGGGTAGCCCCCATCGTGAAGGAAGGGAGGACGAAGGGAGAGGTCTCGATAAGGATGAGAGAGGTGGCAGAGGAGGGAAGTGTAGATGAGCTGACGAGCTTCGAGAAGGTGGTAGTCTTTAGGACTTAGGATGTGGCATTTCCCAAGGAGGAAGATGTGGTGGTCCCTGGAGCAGAAAAGAGAGGAGGCCTATTGTGGTTGAGGGTAAGAGGCGTACAATTAACGTACCAGAGCAGGCAGTTGGCAAGAGACTGAGATTGCCATCATAGTACGTCGTTTTTCCATTCACTTCTGAGGTGAAGAGGAGTTTTGTCAATGAGATGTATCCAAATCTATTCCATGAGGTGGACCATGCCAAATGGAAAGCATTTGAGATGGATTGGAGAAAAATTTTACCTAGGTAAGTATTTTATGATTTTTGCAAAGTATACTACGTTAATTCATATATGTTTCTTTTAACAGCTTTTCTATTTTTTAGAGCTAGCTACAAGTTAGCTCAAAGGATGATCTCAAAAGCTTACAAGTGCTTCCATGACATCACCACATCGGGAGCTTGACTTGTGACGATGTAATCGATGTAAGTGAAGTAGTCATATTGTTATTTTTTATGTATACATAATTTTTTTATTAAATGAAAAAACCCTATCTTTTTTATTGGCATTTCCTGATATAGCACTTGACCTGACCATGAACTTGTTGCGCAACCAAGCTCATAGTTATCCAAAATCATTTGACATTCCTGGCTGAGTCATATTGAACATCCAGTTTATACGTGCCGTAACCATTGAGTATCAGTCGCTCCAACTTATGGATAATGAGTACATGGTGCCCGAATATATGCTCGAATAAGTTGTAGAAATGTTACCGAGTGTCAGGGAAAAGTCATGGGAGGGTTGTACGCATATTTACATTCCAGTGATCGCAAAACATCATTGCATTGCCATGGGGATTGATAAGTGCATTTTACACACTTATTTAGGTTATGAAACATGGATATTGTTGGCAAATATATTGGAATATGGCTTAATTCTATGTAAATTTTATTTTATTGGATAAAATTGATGAATATAGCGGAATTTAGGAGAAACAAGCAAAAAAAAGACCAAAATGAAAGAAAACCAAAGTTTAGGGACCAAACTGCAAATAGTCGAAAGATGACCCAAAAGAAGAAATGGAGAAGTGAAATAGTCAAAAGTCAACTGACCAAAAGAATGAAGTATTGAAAGAAGAAGAAATAAGAAAAAAGGTCAAGAAGTGAGAAAATGAAGTTCAGGGAATAAAACGCAACATTTGAGAGTTAATATAAGGCGATTGCCCAATTATATTGGTCGAGCGACCTTTCGAACATAAAAATTTAATACCGAGGTTTGAATTTATACCTGGGCGATTGTAATTGCGTCGAAAAATTTGTTTCGTCCAGAATTTTAATTCAACAAGGAAACTTCATCTCGGGCCCATTTTTTCACGAAGGGATTTTTGGGACTTCTTTGGGGACTATAGATACCAACTCTCAACATAATTGAGGTGTGGAGAATCAGTTGCAAAATGAGGCAAATAACACATCAAGATTTGACTTTCGAGAATATCAAGATTGAATTCAAGATTTCGAGACAACTTTTATATCTATTGCTTTCCTCTTCACAACATGTTAGGCTATATTTTTTTATGCTAAGAGAACGATGAACCTTGAAATATGAATTTTTAATCTTTAATTTTACATATTTGACATCAAAAATACTTTTTGAATATTGAATGATTTAAATGAATTTCTTTTCTCTACGATTGAGTGGGAAATGCTGAACCGACAATGATGTTTTTTGAAAAGAATTTGGAAGTAGCAGCTTCTATAATTTTAGGCCCGATGATAATAGCATAGCATGCACTACCTCTTCCTTTTGACAATGGATATATGAGTTCAATTTTACACTTGGCAAAGGGTAAAAGGTTGGACACGACTGTGAGCTCTGAGAAGGTTGCCTTTGCATAGTTGCAAAGCATTAACATTTCTCGCACTTCCTCCCAAGATGAAGGGCATCCATTTTTTAAGATACACATTAATATCCTTGTCTAAACACCTTCTGTGCGAGTATGGGTCCTCCGATGTGATTGTTATATATACATTTGTAAATTTAATTGAGGACATATTTCATCTCTTCTCCTCCTGTACCTCGGAAAATGAACAATGAGAAATCTCTTTTATATAGCATATCATTTTGAAGAATGAATTGTATTGCTCTTTTTTAAGATTGTGGCCTTCATCCTTGTTATCAAGTAGGACGTGATCTTTGAGGAAGGCTATGATGGATTGCATCGATAGGGTGCTTTCAACCTAGATCATTTCATCTCTCTTGGATATGGGTGGCTTAGAGAGGTGTTCAATTGGCATTATCTTTAGCAGTTTGGAATCTTTGCTATTAGCCAACTTGTATAGTGCAGCAATATGAAAATTTTGAAGACATGGGATTTTCCCCAAGTTGAACTTCTCAAAGATGGGCGAAAATCCATACCACGTTTGAGGTATGCTACAATGCTCTTCTCGCTGGTGTTAAAATTGTCATTGACTTAGCTCACCATTAGCCGGGAATAATTACTTACATATAGCATCTTTACCTACATTTCACAGGCCAACCTGAAGGAGGGCCTCATATTCCACAACTTTGTAGGAGGCTTTGAATCCAAATCTCACCGTGAGCTTATGGCCTTCTGAACATACTAATACGACTACTACCCTAGAGCTTGCTTTTTAAGACTAGACATCGACAAAGAGGCTAAAAGTTTGGGGCTTAGTGGGTTTCATCGTCGCCTCTATCTCGGGGACATTGGTAAATTCCACCTTAAAGTCTACAAGGGCTTGACACTTGATGGAGGTTCTTGACTTGAAGATAAAATCAAATTCACTCAGCTCTACTACCAATTTCATTAACCTACTAGAAGTTTTGCTCAAGTGAAAATTTTGTTAGCGCGTGAATGTTTGGGCATGAAAATATGGCATCAATTTCAAAATTAATCATTTCTTTAAAATAGTATAAGGAATTGACATTAACAATTGGGCCTAATACCAAGGACCAGATTAGCTTACCAGTTTAGGTATGTCAATCATGGATCAAACTATTTGAGTTCAAGTCGGTTAATCATCTTATCTTTTATAGGATAGGAATAGTTAGAGTGGCAATCGGTCTCACCGACTTGAGCCGCCAGTGGGTCATTCTAGAAAAGCCCGAGTCGACCCATGTGGCTCACTTGCTAGGGCTCACGGCCCTTTAAAAAAAATGGTTAAAGGAAATGTTATCTTTCAGCTAGTTGACATCCCTAGGACTACCAGTTTCGGCAAGCCCATTTTCAATAGCTTTAATCTAAATATTGATTTACAATAAAAAGTATTCTTAAGTATTTGAGGACTAAGAATACATTTTTGGTATCTGAAAGAAATGAAGTACTTGGATATATTGATATGTGCTCTGAGTTCGATAAGGATGAAACAGTGTTTATGTAAATGATGGTGCGATTAGTGGTAAATAGGGGATGATTGCTAACTTTACATCTAAAGCCAAATACGTATATACTTTTGAATCAGTCTGGATTAAGATATTCATTAATAAAATATGAATGGCCCCTAGCACTAGTGGTGAATCCAGGATCCAAGTCCAGCTAGGGCGGATTGACCGTTGACCAATGATCGTTGACCGTCGACGATCGTAATAGTCCGATCGTTTATTAAAATCTGGTTACATAATATTAAAAGTTATTCAATATATATGTAAATGAACTAAAACGTCAAAATCGTATACATATGAAAATATACTTCGATACAACCCAAAATAGTAAAAAAAATTTACAATACAACCTTACTCAGGTACTCTGTAACTGTAAATTTATACAACTGCATTCTATGGGGTCTCATGATTTGAAAACATTGCAATATTGCCTCATTCTCAAGTTTTTCTAAAATAGCTTTCTCCACGTAAACCACCAAATTGTCATTCAACCAGTCATCTCCCATTTTGTTGCGCAAATCACTCTTGATTAGATTCATAGCAGAAAATACCCTTTCAACACTTGCAGTCGCCATAGGTAATATCAAAGCCAAGGTAAGCAGCCTATAAACCAATGGAAAATAATAGGAACTTCTAGTTTTAATCAACTTTTGAGCTACATAGGATATACTATTGAGATTAAAGAAAGCTTCGTCCATCTTCACAAGCAAAAATAACTTGTCAAGCTGAGGTCTAAGTAATAAAAGCTCTTCACTATAGAAGTCCAAAGGATAGGACTAAGCAAGACGTAGCAATTTATCCTTATCAAAAGCTGCAAATGAATCTCTTGGACTTAAACATGAAATGCAAGTAAAGAGCTCAGTAATCATTTCTGGAAATCCATCATTCAACTCTTGCAAGATTGAGTCTATCACATGACAATACAAATCAATATAAAAGCGATGAAAATAAGTCACCTGCTGAGCTACACGCCTAGGTCGACCTTTCACTACTACAATAACCTTCATATTAGACACTAAAATATGTCTATCAATACAAAACTCAATCACCCTACTGAACAAAGTATCCCAACAATTCTCTCTCAAGTTCTGCAATGTACATTTACACAAATTCAATAACCTCATAGCATTCTGAATATCCTGATCCTTTTTCTGTAAGGCTTGTGAAAGGTCGTGTGTAATTGCAAGAATTTCAAACATAAAGTGAATACTGAACACAAACTCAAAGTCTTGCATATTGTTCATCTGTCTTAAGGCGGAAGATTTTTTATCTAAATGTACGTCATCTTCTAATATATTCTCAAGAACATCTATAATAGCATTAAATATATTAATGAAATGAGTAACTATCAATAAATGTGAGCCCCACCTAGTATCACCTAGGTGTGCCAAAGTCATTTCTTGAAACTATCCACTTCTACCAGTAAGTTCCCCAGTATTAAGCTTCTCCAGAATATTAGCTTGATAACTTATTCGAAGAGCATCTACATGCTTACATGATGTGCCAACCAAATTCACAATAATAGCAAGTACGTCCAAAAAATCACCAACCATACAATTCCTACGTGCCACAGATACAATTGCCAACTGAAGCTGGTGAGCGAAGCAATGAACATATATAGCATGTGGGTTCTCTCTAAGAATTAAAGCCTTCAACCCATTGAACTCACCTGATATATTACTTGCTCCATCATAGCCTTGACCTCTCATACTAGATCTACTCAACCCATGTGTATAAAACATTACATCAATGGCATCCTTCAGTGATTGGGCACAAGTATCAGTGACATGGGACATACCCAAAAAAAGCTCATTCACTTGCCCACTTCTATCAACAAACCTTAAAACAACTACCATTTGTTCTTTCACAGAATTATCACGAGTCTCATCAACTAAAATTGAAAACAACGAATCACCAATCTCATTGATAATAGCCTTTGTCGTCTCTACGGCACAACAATTAACAAAATCCTTTTGGATGGTTGGTGAAGTCATTTGGTCATTTTCAAGAGCATTACTAAATAATACTTCTTTAATTTTCTTACAACGAGCTGCATACCAATTTAACAACTCAATTAGATTTCCTCTATTAAGAGACTCTTTCGATTCATCATGACCACGAAATGACAATCCTAGCATCAAGAGAAGTCTAGTACAATCTAGCACCACAGTCAACCTGGTCCTATAACTTTGTTGTTGACTACTACTTTGGCTAGAAATAACATAAGAGATACTTTGCTTTTGATTCATCAAGTTGGTACACTTTGCAAAAGCTTGATTATGAGAACTATCAAAGAGACCGACATGATCTTTCAATGTCTTTTTGTGCTTCCAATCCCTAAAGTTGGTCTTAATAAATATATGTCCACTCCCTTGACCCTCTCTATCGGGTTTAAACAGGTAGCAATGCAAGCAATACGCCACATCCTTTTCTATATTGTATTCCAACCAATAAAATTCAGAGAACCATTCTTTTAAAAAACATCTATTATCATTCTCCATCGGTCTTCTTGGAAAATCATGTCCATATGGTTGATAAGGACCTTTCTCCAAGTATGCCATCCTAACAACATCTCTGATATTAGGATTATATGATTCGATATGGGGCGCATCCCTAGATCAGATACAAGATCATCCACATTAAATTGAGCCCAAGACTTCTTTGTGTTATTCAATAACTCTTGTGCTCAACTAGAATCAGTGATGGGACTAGATGCACAACTAGAAGTAGAAGAATTGGGTATGGACTTTCATTTTGGTTGAAAAAATTGTTCCATAATCTGCAAAATGTCATCCTAAACTTAAATTCCCAAATCAATAATCATTCCTAATATCCTATTCCCTCATCAAATCATAAATTACTTATCATAAATCACAATTCGCAAATACAATTTCATAAACATAAATTCCCAAATCAATAATCATAACTCATCATGATAAAACGTAAATTACTTATCATAATTCATAAATCACAATTCGCAAACATAAGTTCCGAAATGAATAAATCATAACGTAATTAATCTTAAATTTTTCAATGCTCAACAATCAACATCAAAACTCCAATATAGAACAAAATCAAAACAAAATATGTAGACTCTGAGTAGCAAGGGCAAAACAAAATCGAACAAAATCAAAATAGCCAAACAAAATAGAACAACACGTCAACACCAAAACCCAAAAAATAAAAATAAAATAAAATAATAATAATAATAATAATAATAATAATAATAATAATAATAATAATAATAGAGGGAAAGAAAGAGTCACCGGTCTGAATATCTGATGGAGTTCACTGTCCGGTTGGCGGTTTAGGCGTTTGACACTTGGCAGTCGGCACTTTGGCGTTCACTGTAGCCAGCGGGCAGCAGGCAAGTAGCGAATGCTTTGATGGAGTTTGCTGTTGATTTGGTCTGCTCAGAGTCTGGAGCTAGTCAGCTAGGTCGTGTGGCCTGTGGTGTGAATTTGGAGCAAGAAGAAGTGATGTTGAGGAAAAGGGTTTGGCAATTTAGGGGAAATTCACAATTCTTGTTGCCTGAGTGCTCGTCTGCTGGCGATTGAAAATTTGAAATGGCCAAATGAAATTGGGTAACGGGTTCAAGGCCTTTAGGTTGAATACATATTATATGTTGGATAAATTCATTTGGGCTAAATATAGGCCCATGGGCCTACATAAGTTCACATTATAGGGCACACACTATTTCTATTTTCCTTTCTTTTTTTTCTAAAAAAGCCCAAAATTTAAAATTTAAAAAAACCCAAAAAAAAAAAAAAAAAGGGGTGGCGTCTTCATCTTCCTTCTTCTCCAATGGCCAATGCACACTGACCAGTGATCAGGCGGTTCTGCAAGACTGCAACTCCTTACCCAGCGAATTTGCAAATTCCGACGGAGTCAACACGCGCGGCCGCCCCCCCTCGACAGGTGTTGGCTCCGCACCTGCCTAGCACTATACTCTGTGACATCATGGAGCCATCACAATTCATTGTGAAAGCGGAGGAACCCAGTCTTTCAACAATTTTAACGTTTATTGAGGCATGATCATCTTTTTTATAAAATTATACAAAGAAATAGCTCTTTTCAATCAACTTCAAGTGAATTAATAAATCTAGGTATAACTTAAAGGAAGCTTCAATTTATTATATTTTGATCACGTCAGAATAATAATTTCACAGTTTTTTCCTCCTTGCTTGAAAACCTAATGAATTTGCAAGAATTGGAAGATTGGAATCGAGATTGTATCTAGTCAAAGTGGAAACTTGTTAGTACTCTGGCTTAGGTACAAATGTTGGCCGGGGCTTAAATACTATACTAGACTAATATTTATATATCAAAGTTAATAAAGGAGATTAATTAATTGTTGAGCTTATTTGGACTGGACTGTGTGTGTGTGTCTATATATAGACATCATAATATTTTTGCTACCCAAAAAAAAATAAATAAATAAATAAAAATAAAAATAAAAATATTGAAGGTGATATCTACGTTGTTTCCTGGTTACCATGATGCTGGTCGATTTTTTAATATTTTTAAAAGTACTTCAGAGATAAAAAAAATATATATATATACTGTAACACAAACACGCACGAAGCAACCAATATTCTTGTCAATCAAAAGAAGGTAGCAGAATACTTTGTTCTGTTTATTGCATTCTGTATTTATCGGACAAGCATGCTTTGGATATCTAACATATTAAGTAACATCATTTTTCTTATATGTTTATCCATTCATCAATTGAGAAGTTGTCAATAGATTCCATGCCTGCCATTGATTCAATTTTTGAGTTTTCCATCATCATCTGTACTGGTTCAACTTTTGAGTAGTCTTGAGCTGGTTGGCCAAGAAAATCGAGGGCAGGGTCGTCATGAAAAGCGAAAGGGATATCATAAGATAAGATCATCTCTATCTCATCGAAAGTAGGAATGCGATCAGTAATTGGTTTGTCTTTCTCAGCATTTTCTTGATCGTCTCCTACGTACAGATCTCCGACTCTTCTAGCTTCAATAACCTAAACAAAAATGATAATACTAAGAAATACAGCTTTCTGCAATATTCATAAAGATTCACAAAGCACAACATACGTACGAGTTTTCCACTTTCCATACATCTGTACACAGCAATGCTGTCCCCTGCGTGCAAGCCATGTGTGCTCACGAAGTCCCCTAATGAAGCGCGAAAATGTATTATAATATGAAGGAGTTTGAATTCAGAATCACCGAGAAAATGAGAAACGATTTTTCGCACCAGTGTTCTCGAGCACATACATCCGACTGCTGTTATTTGGCCAGAATCTATGAATTAAAAGAAAATAATACACGTGAACCGTATCAATCTCATAAATAACTTGATTGATATATATTTAAAAGGACTTAATGTATTCAACTTCTTTCAAATGCTGCCAATTTGTTTCCCTTTAAGTAACATAACGGGAAGAGAAAGAGGGATATCATCGTCTTCCCCTGGGGACTACTGGTCTTGCGAATTTATGAACCCAGGATTTAATCGAGAACGACCATGAGATACAACATAGTGAATGACCATTAAAAACTAATAATAATAAAATAAAATAAAATAAAAACCACTATGTGATCGAAACAATTAAACAACAAATGGGTAGGCAAAATGGATTGAGTTTATAGCGATCAAAACCAAAACAGCTCGACTCAGACCTGAACTTGAATCCCCACTCATGAATGCCATCCATGTCATACATGCTGATTTGAATGCCGTCCTTGAACTCGAGATCAGGAAGATAATTCTCCGCAGATTTCTGAAATTAACCATGAAATTTTTTTTTATTCCACATCAATATCTTTTTGATAGTTTGAATACTATAGCTATGAAATATAAAAGCAAAGCCCGGTAAGTTTTGCAAAATGAGGGAAGTAGAGTTAAACAATAGAAAGCGAATGACACCATGAATCAAAACTTCAATTGCAAACCTTTGGAATGATCATTCTTCTGAGGGAGCCTACATCGCTTTTCTTGAGCACCTTACCAAATAGATATTCAAGAGTATCGGGATCAATTTCCTGAAGCACATCATGAGGACTGTGAGAAGGACTCCTAATATGGTTACTTGATTTGAATTATGAAATAGAGAGGAAGAGATGAGATGTATTACACAATACAGATAAAGTCAAGCATAAAACATATTCCTTAAAGAGAGTACCAGAATAAGGAGCTTGTTATGTATGAATGCAAAGTTAATTCAGCAATGGCTTTTATTAAACCACCACTGTTTATTTGCAGTCAATTAGGGTCATAATTTCCATAAGATAAGGGACGAATTACAAGTGACCTTGCAAAATTGAAACTTGGCTGTATTATATTATTTGTAAAAAGAAACACGTCATACGTGAATCTATAGGAGCAGTTTGTGGCAAATGTATATCCTAAATAGATATTCAGTTACTCCAATGACAGACCGCCGTTGGTTAATTTCTTAAAATAATAAAGGGCTATTGTAAACTACCGCCAATTAATTCTATGAGAGATAGCAACTTATACTGCTAAAATTCAAATTAGTGCAATCTTCTCTCAGTCACGAAAGAAGCCCATTTTAAGAGAACTTTGCTATTAATGAGCAAATTAGGTCAGCAGGAAACACATTCATAATGTCACATCTTTTATATATAGTCATAGATTCAGAATGTGTTTTATTCAATGTCATGTTAAGAAACTACATCAGCTATTCAACTATGAACGACGCCATATACCTATAAAATCATAAGACTTTTTTGGCATTTCTGATAAGGTGGATTACATGGTAATGGACTCTATTAAATAAGAAGTTAAAAATTACATACCGAATTTGCACTTAAGGTTCGAAGTTGATAATCTTGCAGAAAATTGTATAATCTGCTCCCACAATCATTTGATTTTGGAAATATTTTAACTATGGCATCCATCGAGAGTACTACTACATTGATATTGCCTGCTACCACCACCCAACCCCAAAACAATGTTTTGTTTACCTTGGTTTCTTAATAAGCAACTTCTAGCGTGCTTGATTCCTTATGCTTCCATAGTATTTTCTTGTCAAAATGCATAAACTAAGATGGGAACAAAGATAATTAAAAAATATACTGATAAACGACAGCAACGTAATGCCAATCCTCTGGTTTTATATGTAAATTCTCTATCCTTGATATTCATGCTTAAAGATCTATGAACGATCCATGCCTGACCATCCAAGTAGAAAAAGGACCCTACATCTTTTTCATCTCATGTTTAGGGATAATAACCAAATTCTCGATCATATTTATCAAGATTGCCCTGCTACTAGTTATTATGTACAAATGGAATATATTTCTTGTGAACTTAGTGAACTTTAACATTGTTTTTATCAACGCCTCGTTAGTGTCACTTTGTGAACTTTAACATTGTTTTTAAGATGATCATTGATGATCATTTTAGAGAGACATTGGAAAGGGTTAACAACACGAGACAATTGTTAGGAAGTTGAGATCAAAAGTTAGCAAGCATCTAGCAGGTGATGGACATCCCAGATGCACATGTTGGTTAAGTAGTCTAGACTTTATCTTTAGCTTTTGTAATTTACTCTATTGAAAATAAAGAAAAAAGATGACTCCTCACATTTGTCTCCCTAGTAAATTATTTGGTTGTGAATGTAGATTGTTTGGGTAAGCTTATTAGTAAGTCAAACTTATAAGTAAATTCTTATCCCAAATGTTTTTCCTTGCGCTTTTAAGAATCTTTCCTTTGTTATAAGTTACAAATTATTTGTAATGGCAGTAGAGGACAATATACAATCAAAATATAAGTCCTTATTTCTCCTCTGAGCAATACTTCCAAACCCATGCTAATTTAATAATATCATACTAAAAACTATTAAAATAAAAGAATAAATATTGAAATGATAATAATAAATTTTATTATTGATTTTGTGAATATAATAATACAATAAATAATCAATTTATTTGACTTCTAATTTATTAAAATAATAACAAAATTGATCGTTTTTAATAGAATTTTGAATAATTTATAATTTAAATTTTGTTGTTTAACTACAAAGTAATCTAATAAAATTATATATAGAAATTAAAAAATAATTAATATGAGAAATTTTATTAAATTCGATAAGTATTTGAAATTTTATAAAATAATTAGCGTTTTAATTTTGTATAGATTAATATTGATACTAATTACTGTTAGATAATTTAGTACTTAAAATTTACTAATAAAAAACTTAAAATTTTAGATATTAAATATTGGTATTCAGTTAATTAGTTAAATAAAAAAAAAAAAAAAACCAATACTGTAAAAAATTTATATTGAATAAATTTTAAAATTAATTTAAGATATTAAATATTTAATATTATTATATGTAAATAATCTTCATATTAATTTTAATTCATAATGAATAAAAATTTTATTCTAATTTCTTATTGTTATATTAATATTAAATAAAAATGAAGTAGAAGGAACTAAATCCCATTTCAAACTAAGATCTAACGAAGTAATAATCTATTAATATTTCATATAGGTTTAAATATTATGTATTTCAAGTACCTATTATTTAAAGGAAAATAATTTTAAATTAATAAATTGTTACATCAGTCAAATATATCAAGTATAGCCCCAGTTTGAGCTACATTATTGTAAAAATAAGAATGAAAAATATAGCAATTATGATCCCACACAAGAGATAAAAAATCAAATATAGTGGCTTGATATGATAGATAACAGTCATATTTTTCATTTTAATGAGAAAGTAAGTGGGCTCAAACAGGGCCTAAGTTTAGTAATTATAAGTTAAAACTTTAAGATTAGCAATCTTGAAATAAATGACCTTTTTTGTAGAATTAATTGTTCCAATGGTCACTGAATTTAGGCTCATTTCTTTGATTGATCATTGAAATTTAAAATATCGAGTTTAGACCACTGAACTTTTAAAATATTGTACGTTACTCACTAGCATAAATATTGAACTTTGGAAAATGTCAAGTTTACAGTGAGTGATGTACAACACTTTTCAAAATTTAGTGGTCAAAACTTGACATTTTAAATTTTAGCGAGCAATTGAAGATATTGACCTAAATTCAGTGATCGAAACTCGACATTTTAAATTTAAGTAATCAATTAAAAACATAGACTTAAATTCAATGACCATTGAAAACTCTTTTTTGTATATGGTCAAAGTTTTCCATGAATGATGAATCTCTTCCTCAAGTTTTGTGTCAAATAGATGTACATACTACATACTAACGTCAAAGTATGTTTTCCTGAACACGCACACACGTATTAACTTATAATCCAATGTAGAATTGAATTATAAGTAGATTATTACCAAGGCCTACCAAAAGGAAAATAAGAAAGAAGATGAATTGGATTGTTAGTAAATTATGACGGAGGACAATAGGAAGAAGTCAAGAAAATGAAGGAATAAATTTATCACAAAAAGAGAGAGAGAAGGAATTATTCCCTTTTCATAATTCATCGTATTCCTGCCAAACTCAAATCCCAGTCAAAAACGTTGTATTTCACAAGAAAAGAAGATATGTTTCGCAAATTCCATTTAATGAATTAAAAAAATAGTGTATGAAGGGTTTTGTTACACGTACACCGGACTGACACTTCGATGTACGCTCTCCTCATGGGGGATCACAAATTTTTTTTTATTACCGTGGAGTCATTCCTCTTGTGAGAAGAGTATACACCGGAATGTTGACCCAGGGTACAAATAACATTTTCCTTTCAAGTAATAGTGACAACACAGGAAAAGAAAGAAGAAAGAGGCGTTTACACGTGCGGCGAAAGCAGATGGCATATGAGCGCTGGAAATTTTCAGGCATTCAAGGCCAATTCGCTTCACCCTGCTGCCCATTCTAGGCTTTCTCCGAATATTGAAGGCAGGCCCAGAGAACAAGTCCTGGTTTTGAGTTAATTCAGTAGTATTCTGACTCAAAGACGCGCTTTGCTTCACCTGGTGAAGACGGCTCCTCCTTCTTCTCTCTCCTGGACCCGTCTTATGTTTCGAAATCTCCATTTTCGTTTTTCGATTTTTAGCTCACTGACTTGAGAAAATGGAGAGTTGTTAATGGTGGTGACTTGAATTTGTTTTGTTTTGTATGAAATGGTATTATGGTAATTAGTGGTTCGAGAGAGGGATACTGTCCCGAGTGAACGACAAAAATAAAGGGTAAAATCTTCCCAAATTTATCAAAGAAATGGTGAAGAAAGGGGTGATATGAGTGACATTTGTTCAATGTAGGTTCATGGTGGTGGATTAAAGTTTTGTTTTTATGCATAAACGGGGTTAAAATAATCAGAAGGGAGATTAACCAGAGTTAGACATGGGTTAAATCTTGAAGTTAGATACAGAATATACAGAGGAGAAAAATGGAATTTACATAAACTTGTGGAGGTGTGAAGAGTTGAGTGGTCTTGAATTGTAATTTGGAAGGAGCGTGCGGTGGTGAAAGAGAAGAAGGTACAGGTGTTGTAAAACTTCTGATTTCTGGCAACAGAAATCAATGGCGTTTGTTTGGGTTTTGAGTTACGTTTTGGAATTTTCTCTTTCCCTTTCATTTTTGCTTTTTCTTTTAAAAATCAGGAACTCTCTCTCTCTCTCTCTCTCTCAATGTATATGTAAGTTATGAGAGGGACAAAGGGGAGAAGAGTGGTTTTGGAACCATGAAACTGCGTTTTTCCAGTCATAGAGAGCACCGTCAAAATTAACTCTACTAGTACTCGCTAATTCCCATTACATCATAATTTTTGTTTCTTTTCACCAACTTTTTTTTCCTATAGCTATTTGAATAGTTTCACATACACATGCATAAAATGACGTGTACTTATAAACTCATGACATGTGTGATTGACGTGTCATTTTTACGATGCGGGTACACCTAATAAAAGCTATGAAATATAAAGTTATATGAAAAATGTCTACAAATCATTATTCTTTTCAATTAAAAGCTGCTACTAATAGAAAATTTTCAAGAGATACGTCGGCAAAAAGCTAATTGCATTATCGGGAAAGGTAGCAAAATTTGCTCCCCAGATTCGCGAAGCAAAATTTGAACACATGGTTGGGCACATTAAGCTTTTTGTTAGAAAGACAGGTATCGACATACTTTTTGGAGAAAGTAAGATTATTTATTTATTTACATGTAAAATTATTTTATTAAAAGAATGTATGATGGGGTGTGGTTGCAAAATAATTTTGGGGAAAAAACGAGTTTTTAGAAAATAGGACTTAAAGAGGCACTTAATATTCATATGTGAGATGGCTTGATAAATGCATTTTGTACTGTTATTAGACATCTACCCGTATTTATTTAATTCTAGATTGAGAAGGTATCTACTTAATTTAAGGCAAATTCGAATTGGAAAAATTTAGATGAAATTGAATTGAAGCTATAAGATCAAAATAGTCAAGACTCGAATAAGGATCTGTAATGCAAGCATAGAGGACCAGAGATGCACAAAAAATTAATATGGAGGATCTAAGTGCACGAAATTGGAAACAATTCTAGCATTTGTTGATTGCCTAATTTTAATTATACTCAAGTTTCAAAAGAGAGATGATTTAATATTCTTTTTTTGAATTATTATACACTCTTTTATGTAATGCATAATTTTAGAAAGAAAAATCATATAGAACATCAAGATCAAATGACCAAAAGTTCGGGTTTGAAGAAGATTTTAGTGCAAAATTCAATTCCTTTATTCATCAAGATTTTAAAACTCGATTATGAACTTTATATTTTTTTGTTGTTTTATTTTTTAATTAGAATGAGTAGCTAAATTCATAGTTAGGGTAAATAGTGCAGTTTATGTGTGATCCTTTAATTTAATTTTCAAAATTCTAATGTTTAAATTTATGTCTTTATTTTATTACGAAATTAAACGGGATGTTCTCACGTAAAATTTTAATAAATTTTAAAGGACTAAATTCTAATGAATTTTGTGGATTTAAATAGATTCTTACAAATTTCATAAAAATTTCATCATATATGGTGAAATTTTAAAAAACTTGCTTACATATATTTTTAAGCTTAAAATCCATCCAAATATTTTAAAATCCTTTTATTAATGAAATCTTTATAAATTCTCTAATTATTGAAGATGCCTAAATTTTAAAGGATTTCATTGAAATTTCAATTGGGGACACCTATATTTTAATGGATTTCATTACAATTCAATAAAATCTTAATTGAAGGCATTTAAATTTTTAATGATTTTTAAAATTCATCACAATCTCAGTTGATGACACCTCCTTTAACACTTCGGGTTAATTGGCCACTAATTCAATGGTGCGTGAATTAATAAACAAATCAAGAGGTAAAATATAGAGATATGGTGAATTGTCTTAATTAAATATGATCAATTTGATCTTGAGAGAGGAAAAATGAGTAATTAAAAAGAATTTGATTGAACATTACAATAAATCAAAAATCTTGATTACGGAATTAAATTTGATCAATAGATGAAGTTGTAAGTCCTAAAAACCACATTCATATTCTAAAAACTCTAATTTGATTACTTCTGTGCATTTAGTTAACCTAAGTATAATTAGATAATTTAGGGCATTAATCACAAACACAACTTATCTTTCATGTTGGGAATCTACTTAACATGCGCAGCAGAAAATTAAAATAATTTTTGATTCCCACCACAGATCTCTTTATATTTAGATAGAAATTGTGATAGAAAATTATACCTTTGAAAATTTTGCAAACCTTTTGCTTTTCTTCTTGATCCAACAATGTCGATCTATCACCCACAACTGTCCAATTGTCCAACCTCCAACAATGATTCACACAGAGAATAAGATTGTAGGATTGGAGTTTTTTTCTTGTACTAGCAAGAAAAATGAATTCTCTACAGTTTTTGAAAACGATAATCATATTTATATAAATCCGAACGAGCTTGGCCTGACCTGGTCCAACATTTAATTAACCTATTTAATTAAATTCGGTCTGTGAATTAATTAATCCAATTAATGAATTCAGGTCTATAAATAAGCAACCAAATTATTTAATATATCTAACATTTATTAAATTAATTAATTGACAAATCACAATCTTCCAATTCTCCATTTGTGTGCGACCCATCAATTCCCGATCACGATATCTAACGATGTGAAATATTATTTTGATCTAATCAAAATTGATAAATTAAAACACTCTTTTAATTTATCACCAATTCACACTCGTCGTCCCAGATTGACAGACAATACATATGACGGAAAATGTCACATGATATGACAAAACGAAACTCGCTCGTTTACCGTGAAACTATAATCCCTTAGTCAATATGATCCGATCAATTACGAGATATGGAAGTGTGTCAATCTCGATTATCGATCATATCTTTCACTCCACTATTAAGTCAATATAAGTCGAAAACTCATTTTCGACTTATGAGTACACCTTGACCAAAGATTTCGTAATCGATTTAATTGAATGAAATGCAGATCATAATCTCTTACTATCTAAGAGTGACGAATCCTCTATTGGTCATTCACAGCTTTCATATGATTCTTGACATACCCAAACAATGCCGTATTAGCGGCCTTTGATCATATCTTTCACTCCACTATTAAGTCAATATAAGTCGAAAACTCATTTTCGACTTATGAGTACACCTTGGCCAAAGATTTCGTAATCGATTTAATTGAATGAAATGCAGATCATAATCTCTTACTATCTAAGAATGACGAATCCTCTATTGGTCATTCACAGCTTTCATATGATTCTTGACATACCCAAACAATGCCGTATTAGCGGCCTTTGGCAGAGCAACATCCAATACCGTCAAAGCATGACTGTCCTCATATAAGATACTATAACGACCTCAAGTGAAAGGATCAATCTCACTACCGAACGTTAAAAATTAACCATTGACACTAGATAGTTATCCATGTGGAATCTCTAGGTGGGTCTCCAATATTTTGTTCTGTAACAAAACATTCACGTGTTCATTCAAATGTCACCACACTTCAACTTGTGAGATCAGCTACTTACTTCACAAGTAAGAAATATCACACGTGATGGTCTATCCGTAATGACGATATCCGTATCTTATTATTACTTACGACCATGGACAATTTAAGATTTAATCATATGTAATTTGTATCTTACAATCGCAACTCCTTGTGATTAAAAAATTACGAAGATTTGAATCTACGAACTCTATTATTTAATTTAATTGACTATAAATTAAAATAATAGATCTATCATTAAATCACATTAACTGTATATTAAAAGTATTTATATCCAAAGTTGATTGGATATAGAGCATAAGACTTACAAACTCCCACTTGCACTAGATCCAATCACTTATGTATCCAATATCATAAAAGTTTACATGACGATCATGTTTATACTACGACAACTCTTTGTCAGTGGATCTGTAATATTGTCAAATGTAGGAATTCATTCTTCTTTTTATGTTATTTCTATGTATTATCTCTCTAATAAGATTATACTGACTAAATACATGTTTGGATCATTGATGAGACCTTAGTTTCTTCGCTTTCGCGGTGACTCTATTGTTATCACAATACAATGACAAGTGATCAACAATATTGAGAACTACTCTAAGTTCATTAATGAACATTATGATTCACATTGCAACTCTTTGCTGCTTCTGAAACAATTATGTATTAGGTTTCTACTATCGAATCAACGGTTACTTCACCTTTGGAACCTTTTCAACTACCACTTAAGAGTAAATCAATTTCTCCATATAAAATCTTCTCAAGATTTCATCTATATAGATTGGAATGAGTTAAGCAATTTTCTAGATCTATCTCTATAGATCAAGTTGCTCTCCCATATAGTTCATGAATAAATCTTTTAACAACTATTATTTCAATAATTGAAACATAGTGATGTCGTTTCCTATAATATTAGGAATACGACAATGCTCCCACTATCTTCTTGTAAACACACAATTCGTCTTTAAATTTGATAAAATCAAACATTTTGACTTTTCATCAAATCGAAAATTTCAACTCCAAAAGACTTGTTTTAACCTGTAGTCACGGTATGCAACTAATCCAAATGGACCTTTGCATGGCTATAGGCGATAGATTTCATCAAAGTCAACACATTGTTTTTGTTTGTTACCTTTTGCTACTAGCCTTACTTTGTATGTATGAATATTCCCATCCATGTCAATATTTTATTATAAACCATTTACAACTTATGGGTTTTATCCCATCAGGAAAGTTGACCAAGGTCCAAACCTTGTTCACATACGTCGAGTTCATCTAGGGTTTCATGGCCTCTTGCTATCTTTTTTAAGTCAACACTTGACTTTATTTTTATGCAATTAGTAGGTTCATCATCCTGAATTAGTAATACCTGATTAGTAATAGTGGATTCACACCTTCTTCAAAGTTGAATAATCCTATTAGATTTAAATGGAGCTGTCATGTCCTCAGGAGTCTCTACTTCCTGATCAAGAGTATGTCCCATATCATATATGGGATCAATCTCGAA